AAATAATTATGAAGAAAATACAAATTTTATGAAGTAACCCTCTAATGTAAAATTCAAGCTACGCCAGTGACAATAGGACATGCATTAATTCGTAGCTAGCTAGAACACATTATTTCTGTAAGCATATGTGAAACATGTCATATACGGCAACTTTATCTTTGTAAGAATATGTGAAACACGTTATATGTTTACTCCGTACGAAAGGCACTCCATTGCCAACCACGTGTATGTTTGTTCTAAAATATTAATTTGAGCTGTCCGATCATGTGCCATTCGCGACTCACAGTAGAGAGAGAGAGAGAGAGAGAGAGAGAGAGAGGAACATAGATTTCTGCTATCCTTCTGATCTGCAGTGCCCCAACCAACATTAACCCCGTAATTGCATTTAATTCTTGTGTCTAGAAAGCTCTGTATGTATATATTCCTTTGGGATGGATCACCCTTCTCATCGATAGATCTTCCTTAATATCTCCCTCCCTTTCTTAATTAGCATTAATTGTTGAAATCTCCCTCTCCCTCCCTTTCTTAATTAGCATTAATTGTTGAAATATACTTCAAATCAAACATGAAATTCTTGGAGATGATAGTTATGATGGTTTTAGCTATTTCTCTTTCCTACATTGTGGGAAAGTATGACTACTTTCCAACAATGATCCGCAATCTTTCTGCTACAAAGTATGACTACTTTGTGTTTGCTCAGCAGCCTCCTTTTGTATATTGCATAAGAAATAGATATTGCAAGGACGAACGTCCCCGATATTTACCATCCATGGCTTGTGGCCAAGCAACAAGTCGAGACATCACGGTGTTGGAAAATTGGCTCGCATAAAGGATACTAATTCTTGGACCAGCGACCGGTCGCACGACATTTGCGACCGGTCGTTTTCAGGCAGAGTCGAAGTCTGGAGCGAAGTCGACTAGCGACCGGTCGCTGGCTATTTGCGACCGGTCGTTTTCAGGCAGAGTCGAAGTCTGGAGCGAAGTCGACTAGCGACCGGTCGCTGGCTATTTGCGACCGGTCGTTTTCAGGCAGAGTCGAAGTCTGGAGCGAAGTCGACTAGCGACCGGTCGCTGGCTATTTGCGACCGGTCGTTTTCAGGCAGAGTCGAAGTCTGGAGCGAAGTCGACTAGCGACCGGTCGCTGGCTATTTGCGACCGGTCGTTTTCAGGCAGAGTCGAAGTCTGGAGCGAAGTCGACTAGCGACCGGTCGCTGGCTATTTGCGACCGGTCGTTTTCAGGCAGAGTCGAAGTCTGGAGCGAAGTCGACTAGCGACCGGTCGCTGGCTATTTGCGACCGGTCGTTTTCAGGCAGAGTCGAAGTCTGGAGCGAAGTCGACTAGCGACCGGTCGCTGGCTATTTGCGACCGGTCGTTTTCAGGCAGAGTCGAAGTCTGGAGCGAAGTCGACTAGCGACCGGTCGCTGGCTATTTGCGACCGGTCGTTTTCAGGCAGAGTCGAAGTCTGGAGCGAAGTCGACTAGCGACCGGTCGCTGGCTATTTGCGACCGGTCGTTTTCAGGCAGAGTCGAGGCCTGGAGCGAAACCTTCTTGCGACCGGTCGCAAGCTACCAGCGACCGGTCGCCAGACACGTGCTGTTTCGAATATGCACTGTTTCTCAATAGTTTCTTTAGTGTGCTATCGTTTTTTTTTACCCACTTGCAAGGATATTTTAAGTCACTTCTGACTTAAATGAAAGGTGGCAAGTTGATGGGAAGCAAGGAGAGCAAATTAAGGAAAGATGTTGGCTTGTTTCAAGGTGTTCCTACCTTTATTGGGTAGCTGAACTTGTAGCTGTCATTATCAAGCCCTTTGCCTGCCCAAGGTGTGATCTACTTCAGTAAAACAAGGGCAGAACGTGGGAAGATGTGATGAGGCTTTTCTCAAGTGCAAGGGGTTGTGTATTTGAGATTGAGAGGAAGCAAGAAAGCAAGGTGAGGCAAAGTAGCTGGAAACTAGTGAGTCAAGAAGAAGAGAGAGTTCTCAAGTGTATCAAGGTGTTGAGCAAGGGTGTGAGAGAAACAGATTGTGAG